GGCTTTGGAGATGACCGCTCGACCGTCGCGTGCACTACTCATGATGGCACCAGGTTTCTGTGCAGTAGTCGACACATTCTTCTCCGTAGTGGTGTTCTTAACAGGGGCGACATTCTTCTCCGGAGCCGCATTTTTCCCCTTCTTCGAGTTTTTCTTACCATCTTCCTTCTTCGTCGTAGAAGCTGTGGCGGATTTCACGACTACTGGAGCCGGTGGAGGAACTAGCATCACCTTCTCAACCTCAACTGGTAGATGTTTCTTCACGCTCTGCACTTGAGAAGTGCCATTCTTCTTCGCAGGCTGCTTCTGTTGTTTATGATCGGCCCCCTTTTTCGATTTGGTGTTCTTGTCAGCCGATCCCTCGCGCGAACGAATGTTCTTCGCCTGGAGAGCAGGCTTGTCCTTAGCGGCATTCCACACAGACGCACCACCGGCCTGTTTTAACTGGGTACGGATCGCGTCGTACAGGTGCTCGCCGCCGATCTGCTGCATGGCCTCTTGGAACTTGTCGGACTGAGCCTGGTTCGCCATTTGACGGAGCTGGTCTTGCTTGTGCTTGGACCAGTCATCTGAGTCTGTACCAGCACCAAGTAATGCCGAATGCAGACCGTTAGCCGTCGGGTTTAGTACAAGCTGTCCGTTGCTCTGGTGGCTCAGGATCTCACGCAGGATCTCACATCCAGCACGTTTCTCCGGCGCCAGGTCGAGCACCAAGCGCAGCACGAAGCTCATACCCACAGTGTGCTGCACATGCTGCTTCGAGCGCAATCCGTTCGTACCGAAGCGAGCACCAACCACGTAGTCCATCTCGCCTAGGTCATCCCTGCGAGCCAGCTCCTTCTCGCCGTATTTGGTGAGCGCGGCCGACACGACCAGCAGTTCTAGTAGCCCCGGTTGGGTTTCCTGGATCTCCTGGATACACGCAAGCGTCTTCGGATTTACGGCGCCGGCAAGCCACTGATCCACCTGCTCGCGTTTAGTGTTGGCCTTGCTGTTGATCACACGCGCCGTCGGTTCTTCATTGGCAATAAAGAAGTTGTGGAACTTCTGGAAGCGCTCGAAGTCTGTCTTCCGGATCTGGCGAGCTTGTTGAACGCTCGCTGGAGTCACGTCGGTGAGTGCGATAATCTTGCCGAAGTTCTTGTTTGCAGTCTTGTTGGTGTTTGCATTGGCATTCTGAACGACGTTCGGGTTTTTATTGGTAGATTTAGTGTCGGCCGGGTTCACAGGTGCGTTCGCCGTCGACGTGATAGTCGCATTCTTGCTATCGTTGGCGTTGTTTGCCTTCTGTCGCGAAGCAGATTTCGTCATTCTCAGTGTGTTCTGGGAGCGCGGAGATCTGGAATGCTGGGTGGGGATGCTGGTTGGATTGCTGGCAAGTTGCGAAGTGGAGAAGTCGGAGAGCAGGATTCAACACCTTTCTCCGTACGACCCGACCCGAGCAACGCTATTACGTTACGGCCCAGTTTGGGGTTTTGGGACCGCACAGATGTAGTGTGTGCGTCCTCGCGCCATCAGAATCCGTTGACTAAGAGAGGATGAAGGGTAACAATCCGGTCAATGATAGAACGCAGGCAGCACTCGCAGAGGATGGTACTGTTTTCAGGTGATCACGATTTCAGGAGATTTCTAGAATAAACACGAGGGTGAGTTCAGAAACTCATTTTCGTATAACAAGATGCCGCTTACACCTTAAGAAACGCACTGCATGCTTTTGCTGCTTAAAATAGCGTTTGCTCGGTTTGCCTATTCTGATCATGTCAACGAGGAAGCTTCAATGTGCATATGCGACGTCCCAGGGTAGCTCTATGGTGACCAAAGTTTGGTCACAGACAGATTGGTCACAGATACTAGAACACTCAACCGCGTGCAAGCAATTTAAGCAATAGTATCGAGAGAAAATACAACTTTATGGTGGTTAGTTGAATACATTCGCGATATACTTTTCCGTGGAGACTCTCCAGTGGAGAGAGAAGGAGACAGTGTTTGTTGCCTTGCCAGCATTGGGAGCTGTGCAACGGTTGCAGTTACATGCAAAGTATAGCAGTATTCACAGTACTACTATTGGCAGACAACGCAAGTAGATGTTGTAGGGGAATTCTTTTGAGATGTCCTTGTTTGCTCTGCTGTAGAGCAGAAGATGGCAAGCCAAAAGAGCTGCCCACAAGTCTCGCATTTGCGCCCATCTCTCCTCTGACGCAACGATTGGATAAAAGACCATCCACGCAGTACTTAGGGATTGGTTTCAGCTCCTGATTGGCGGATCCCACTTCAGTGACGTAATAGTGACATGTACGTGGTATCCAAATCAAGTCAGCGGATATGTTAGGATCATCTCCAGATCCAAATGGCGGCTAACGGACACCTCGAGGCGCCCCCTTAGTCGATGGTCGAAAGTCACTGTTGCGTCCCCTCCATCTAGTACAAACGCAATGCTGCGCAACGCAAAACCCGCCGACAAGTCCGCATCTTCGGACGTCACCCTGACCGTCCAGGAAGAGCAATTCCTGGTGCAGCCCGACAAGGACAAGGAGAACAAACCAGCGGTCAAGAGCGCAGCAAAGCCAGGATCAACCAATTCTTCAGCACCAACGAAGATCCTGTTCCTGGACGGCGTGCGTGGCCTCGCAGCTCTGATGGTCTGCACTTCACACTCGAAGGAATACATGGCGGATATCGACCTTGGAGCCATTGCAGTCGACGCGTTCTTCGTGCTGTCATCCTTCCTACTGACATGGCTCTTCATGAAGAAGAGTATCCGACTATTAGCACAAGGTGCAAGTATCCGAAAGTGGATGTTCACCCTGGCCGACTACTTCTCCAAACGGTTCTGTAGAGTGTATCCATTATTTGCACTGACAAGCTTCGTGATCTGGTTACTGCCTCCTGAAGCGAAGAAGCGGTACTATTTGATCCAGAAACCAGAAGATTTCGATCTGTACAAGGTGCTGACGTTCGAGTTCGACTACCGCTACTTTGTGTTTTGGACCCTACCACTCGAGATCACTTACTATTTCTTCATCCCGGTGTTTGTGCTTGGTGTGCTCGCATTGCGTCGGTTCTGGTTTGTACCATTCTTCCCGGCGTATTACTGGGTCATCAATGAAGGCTGGTATCAATTCCGAACAAGTCACATGGAGCTACGCCCTCACTTCCCGACGTTTGTCGCCGGTTCGATGGCTGCAGTCATATTCGTAAAAATGGACACGTGGATTAAAACAACCGGCTTTGAGTTCCGCAAGTGGCACGTCGTGGTGATTCGTGTCGTCGAGTACATCACGATTGCAGTATTTCTGAGTATTACCTTCCACGGTTTGTTCTTCCATTGGGTACATGAAAATCCGGCACCAAAGGAAAAAGGGTTTTCGTTCATCAGTCTGCCATTGACGATGATTTTTGTGATCGAAATGATCCTACCGTCTTGTGTTTCCGGTATCTTTGAGTGGAGTGTGCTGCGGTATTGGGGGAAGATCAGCTTTTCGGTCTACTTGCTGCACAGCTTCGTGCTCTACGCGTACTTGGTCGGCTCGCAGCCGAACTGGTACGATAAGGTGTTTTCTCGCTTTGGGCTGATCTTGCTGCTGTCTACGGTCTCCTATCACTTGGTCGAGTATCCATCGCAGTTGCTATCACAACGAATCACTAAGGCGTTAGAGGAGCAGGAAAAGAAGGGCTCTGGTGGGATGGCTACTTGTCTGGGCGACTGGTCCAACCCGCAACGAGTGCTGGCAAACCGATTGGCGCGGGCTCAGGAAGCCAAGTCCTCTGGGACTTTAAAGAGTGTGGTGCACAAGATAAGAAGCAGCTCGATGTCGCTGGCCATGAGCAAGCCACACGAGTCGATAGCGTGAGCGATATATGTGTTGTGTGTAGTGCATTTGTTGAACTCTGTCAAGAGATAACTAGATATACATCTATTCAACCGCAAGCGCATTGATCCTTGCTGCAAGTGAGCCGGTACCTGTCGATCTTGAAGTCCAGGCGGTCGACACGTCATACGAGTAGCGTGTCCAGAATCGACTAATTGTCGATCGTGAATGCTCATCAGGAACATTCTTGCTGTGGTGAACCTGAATCAAGCTGGCAAACCTCTACTGCGTTCGCATTACGACAATGCCTAGTGATCGACATCCTGGTAATTGCATCATGATGATGCAGTAGATGTTACTCGCGTGCTTCTTCAGCGAGCACGTTAGCACTGGTCACTCCAACGGTCGTCTTCATACTGAAACCAAATCAAAAAGTTCAGACCGGGGACACGATCGGATTTAAGGGATCCCATGGAAATTCTCACTACAAAGTTGTGCCAGCAATGTTCTCGCACAATGAACCACAGATCGCGGCGATGCCAGCCAGCACCACAGGCTTGGAACTTTGCTTCGACGGGCGGCGCGAAAACCAACGTCTGATCGAGGCAGATCTTCGCTTTCAAGCTACAAATGTGCATGAATTATGTAAATACACAGTAGAATGCTATACATCAGGTACTTTATCCTGTTCTTTGTAAGATTGACATCATTATTGAATATACTTTTATAGGATATTAGGTTTAGAGAACCAAAATCCGTGGTAAAGACAGCAACACTTGGTTTTTGTATGGGGACAGCCAACACGCCAATCCCGGGATAGCCGTTTACTCGAGCTGAAGCCACCTACGCACTCATGGCTCCCCGGACAGCAAACCGTGCCACACTTGGCATTTGTCCAGCGGCCGAAACCCCTCGTAGACCTCATTGCTGACAATGCTGCGCGCCCACGCACCATCGGAGCATGACACCACCAAGCAGGCCGACGACGTGGCTGTGAACGTGCAGACTACGCCCGAGGACCAGCCGCTATTGGCTCAGGACGAGCAGGACAAGGACAACCAGAAGAAGCCCGTGAAGGCCAAGAAGGCGGCCGTGGCGGCCGCTCCACCCACGAAGGTTTTATTCCTAGACGGCGTGCGTGGCCTAGCTGCTCTATTGGTCGTCACGCAACACTCGCACGAGTACATGCAGGACTTGAACCTGGGCGCCGTTGCGGTGGACTCGTTCTTCGTACTGTCGTCGTTTCTACTCACGTGGCTCTTCATGAAGAAGAGCATCCGCATGCTTAATCAGGGTGCGGGAGTCCGCAAATGGATCTTCGCGTTGGCCGACTACTTCTCCAAGCGATTCTGCCGCGTGTATCCACTCTTTGCGCTCACATGTATCGCATTGTGGTTCATGGACGACGAGGACAAGAAGCGCTACTTTCTCATTAAGCAGCCGGAGAACTACGACCTGTTCAGGACTCTGACGTTCGAGTTCGACTACCGCTACTTCGTCTTCTGGACATTGCCGCTTGAAATCTCCTACTACTTCTTCATTCCCGTGTTTGTATTGGGCGTTCTAATGCTGCGTAAGCTCTGGTGGGTGCCGTTTATCCCGGCGTATTACTGGGTTATCACTCAAGGCTGGACTGAATACCGCACGAGCCACACGGTAATGCAGCCTCATATCCCGACGTTTCTGGCTGGATCGATGGCTGCAGTGCTGTTCGTTAAACTTGACACGTGGATCAAAGCCAGTGGATTCCAGTTTCGATTTATCCACAAGCTTATCCTGCGTACGGTCGAGTACAGTGCACTGGCGGTGTTTTTGAGCATTGCCTTCCGTGGTCTGTTCTTCATCTGGGTCCACGAGAACACGGCGCCCAAGACGCCCGGCTTCCCGTTCATCAGTGTGCTTGTGACTACTGTATTTGTGTGTGAAATGCTGCTACCATCGCCACTATCGTCGATTTTTGAGTGGAGTTTCCTACGCTATTGGGGAAAGATCAGCTTTTCCGTCTACCTGCTGCACAGCTTCGTCCTGTACAACAAGTCAGTGAGCTCCCAGCCGAACTATTACTGCCGATTGTTCTCTCGTTTTGGACTGCTCTGTATCCTGACTACCACAACATACCACTTGATCGAGTATCCGTCGCAGTTGCTGGCTCAGCGTATTACCAAGGCGCTGAACGAACAGGAGACTAAGGGATCAGGAGGTATGACTGTATTCTGGGGCGAATGGGCGAATCCTTCCAAGGTGTTGGCGCAGCGGCTGGCAGCAGTGCAGGAAGCGAAGGCCTCGGGCAAATGGATGCAGCTGCTTGGCCTGAAAAAAGATACACCAGTTAAAGAGCAGCCACATGAATCAGCAGCTTAAGCTGTGTGTAAAGTGATACGGGTGGACTTATCCTGTTGTATGTTGTGCTTTAACCTGTATTAAAGCAATGAATTCAGTACAATGTCTTCTGAATTCACACCATTACGAAGAGCGCCAGTCGAACTCATGAAGTAAATGTATTTAGTTTACAGGCAAAATGAAACAAAGAGCGCTATCCTATCGAATGCACGAAGATAAAACTCGATACAGATCTGTTTTCTAGCAGCTATAACAGTATTGATGACGGAAGTTCTGGATCGTGATCTTGAATACGGGGCATTGCTTGGTCATGTTGGGTCTTACTACCCAAGCACACACGTAATGAGGTGTAGCTTAGATGGTCTTGGTCATGTTGGTCTTACTACCCAAGCACACACGTAATGAGGTGTAGCTTAGATGGTCTTCTGTAGATCCGCTGAGCTTGTATGCAGGCCTTCCTTTGTTCGAAGTCTTGATTCCAACTTAACGCAAATAATGAGTATTCACAACGTCTGGATCCAGCTTCACGCGTCAAGCCTCGAACTGATTCGAATTGTACCATGTCTGATCACGCACGTAATGAGGTGCAGTTCAGTCACGATACAAGACGATTCGCCCATTAAGACTTGACAACGACATCCACTGCCCACTTAACATCCAAAAACCTGAGCAAACACGCAATGGGGTGCTGCTTTGGCATGTCCGTCAAGAAGGCGGTCGATAACGTGTGTGAAGCTGGAATCCATTCGACTACTGGTACCTGAACGCGCACGTAATGAGGCGCAGCGTTTGGTACACGCCGTCGAATACGTCGAATACTCACATATTTGCCTGACAAATACCTAATGCTCCTGTGCACGTAATGAGGTGCAGCATTCGCTAGGTGATTTGTGCAGGCAATGGAGTTGAACTGGTTGGCTTGAAGCGCTATGCATGAGCGTACTAGTGATGAGGAGACACTCACGCGATAAGGGAAATCTTGACTTGAACGTGCGTGGTTGTAGGTACGACTTGGAAGGAAGGTAAGCTTGTACTTGGAGTATCTCTAAGGTTCTGCGCAAGCTTGGCACGTAATGAGGTGCAGTCAAGGGCAGAAACCTTTTGGATCTTGAAAAGTAGGTCGCTTGTCCATGCGAGTAAGCATGCAGAGAACGAATCTTGGGTCTTGAACGTATCTTGGTGGGGGATGGTGGGTTCACCGTTTACCATTCCTCCTCTATTGGTATCAACAGAGAATAGAGTGACGCGTTGGTGAGACGCTAAATAGGTAAGTCTAAAGGCCCGCTTGAAGGTGAAGTACTCGACTGGGGACGGAGAGCGCAGGTATTGGCTTGGGGTCGTTGGCAGCATGAGAGAAGAAAAGATTAGAGACGACATTCACATAATTCAATGACAAGCTCACCTGGTACCTAGAAGAAGCGAATCGCGACGGAAGTCGTGAGTCCAGCCACAGAGAGTTCACGCTGATGGAACTCGTACGAGCGCTGGTGCTCGTTCACATAGAGGTGTGTGATGTCCTGCAACGGGATACGCTTGCGCGGCGAACTCTTGGATACTTTGGCAGTTTTCTTCTGTTCTGTCACTTTGATCTTCTTCTTGATAATCTTCTTGACCTTTTTGGCAGAAATCTTGGGCTCCTGCGGCTTCTTCACGGGTGTCACAAGCCCCGCCTCGACCTGTTTATCTTCCTTCTTTTCAGTTGTTGTCTGCTCCTTTTTCTTTCTGGCGGGTTCTGCTTCTACTTTCATCTGCTGCTTCTTGGCGTGTCCTCGCCCTTCATTGCCATCATCGGTAGCATCGCGTCGTCGCTTGAGACTTTTAGCTGCAGGTTTCGTCTCAGCTGTGGTTTCCCGTTTCTTAGCGCGTCCTCGCTCAACACTGCCGTCGTCGGATGCTTCACGGCGGCGTTTGAGACTGCGAACAGAGGCCACGCCACCCTCCATTCTGGTGCTAGAGCTGTTGCGTCTCGGAGGACGTGGAGGCGTGCGCGACGTAGCGGAGGCTGTCGAAGATACTGGCCGCGCTCGTCGACGGATGACGTAGCCGTAGTTCTCCTTATTGGCTTCGTCGAAGTACTCATACTCGCGGTAGATGAGGGGCAGAAGGTGATCCAACATGACTTCGAGTACTGGGGTCGTTGCTGACTGAGTGCGGAATTGGCGGTCAGCTTGAAATCGAGCGCCAAAACCAAAAGCTCGATTCCCGCCAAAAGTTGTTCAAGCACGAAAGTAACCGGTGTTCGTACCGGTATATTTTGGTACCCAATTTGTGGTACCGATACCTCAGAAGAGTGACTTAGGGAGACTACAAACAGTACCGAAAAATTGGTACAAAAACGAGAACTGTGTGACGTCAGCTCATTTGAAGCACATCGTGCTGCTATTCCTCCTGCTGGCTGACAGCAAATTGCTGCCGTGCAGGCGCCACGTGTACAGTAGCGTTCTCGACGGAAAATTGGCAGCTACAACACGACGGCATCGAAAGCAAGCATGTTTGATTGCGTTGATGCTGATGGTGGACTGTCGAGCGCGAAGATGACGACGGACGACGGACTAAGCGCAGGCCACAGACTCCGTGACGGAGCCCCAGTCTGTGGATGAATCGCATCCTTAAACCTGCTGGCACAGTGCGTTCATGACGAAGCTCAGCAAATGATCGTCTTCAAGGTGCAGGGAAATGAGCTGTATCTTGTTTGCGATGAGGCAACAAGTGCTGAACTTCTGACACCTCAGAAAGAGACCGTAACGAAGGGAAAATTACGCTTGTATATATCTACGCTTAAAATCTTGACTATAGTTAATGCAGCAAGAACTCCGTCACGACTCGGACGCGCTGGCCTGTAATGACGACTTGGACGTCACCGCGCCGAGTCGCCAGCTGGAGACAGATCGTTCCGGGGCGTGTCCGGGCCCAAGCTAACTTAATCCATTCGTGCAGCTACTAAATTCCGTGTATGCGGCGTCGCTTCCTTGCCCCGTATGGGCCAGCCGACTACCATATCTATCAGCGGTCACCCTCCTGGCTCGCCATTCTCCTCTACGAATACCGAAGATGCATGCAAAACAATTATGATGCCATGCTATGGTACCCTCATATTAGCCTGCCGTCGAGCCAATTATAACGTTAGGGGCAAATAATAAGTTCCCTACCTCTCCGCGCGGCGTCCGCCCTCGCCTCGAGGCGTCTATGTGTTGCTCTAGTCTCCGCGCACTTGCTTCCGCTCGCAATGGGTGCTGCCATCCCCTCTATATACAAATATGATCGGGCATTGTGTCTTGTACGTCGGCCCGTCGACGCGTTCCTTCACCCGCTCTAATGTGTGCGTGTCGCGATCTCTCACAACTCGCCTTGGCTGCTGGTTTAAATCCACTCTGACCGCATGTCGAAGATCGACGACCGACGTGGATTCATCTCTGAAGGTCGTTCAGCTGCTGGAGACTTCTCCTTGTCTTTCGTCTCTGTCTCCTGCTCCGGCTCGCCATCTTCGGGGACGGACTCGGGGATCTTAAACGAGGAGTTTGCGCTGGACGGTACTCTGCTAGACGGTACTCGCTTGCTTACAACCGGAGACTTGGCGTCCACTAACGACTCAGGCTTCTCACCCGTCTGTCCGATGTATCCTGGGGTGAGGCTCTGCATCTCCTGCACAGCAGCCTTAATGGCCGGGTCTGAAGGTTCGCGGTGCTCATCGTTACTCAAGTGCGTAGCGAAGGCTGGAATATCCTCACGTGGACGTTGGCGCAATGCAGCGGCGATACTGGCAGTAGAGGACAGCACGCGACCGCTTCGCCTCTGGATCTCCAGCTGCTCAGCTAGTGCCTCCTCGATGTCGATGTCGGCGCCATACTCGGTCCTACGCTGTAGCTGCTCCTTGCCCTTGGGCTTAATGCGGCTGAAGAACCTGCGGATGCAGCGGAAGAGCGACTTGAACATCTTCAACCGATGCCAGTGCCAATCTTTTCGACTCTGAAATGCAGCGAGAGAAGCGAGGTTGTTTGTTAGCCGCGACGCATGCGACGGTTTCTCTTATCAAATGCAAGTGTATCTACCGATTAGATGTCTTCTTCCACCCTCCCAGAGAGAGTGCGCCAATGCGCTGGAGCTGCTTGTTGCCGCGTTGCAGGCGCGTTCGATCGCGACGTCGAGGTTGATTCCGACCTGCGCGTTTTCCGGCCTTTCGAGTTGTTAGACAGAACTCAGGCCCCAATTGCTGGCTAGGGCTGCACGCGCTACTTACGTAGGTGACGTTCTCGATCCCTGGTTTCTCGCAACTGTCTTCAAGTTTGTATCTGTGGCGCACCGGCTACGCACCCGAACTGGCCCAAAGTGTGCGATCAACGATATGATCGACAAGAGTAGCGATTTGCCTCGGTTTGACTTTTTGTCCTCTACAATGTAGAGTCTACATCATCGGTCTCAGCAATGCAGCAGTCTCCAGCATTGAGACTCCATGCTCTGCGTGTGCTCTGCGGAAGAGTTGATTTTCGAGATGTGGGGTAATCTCGTACGGCTCCATTTTGCCAGCGTTGCTGTAATTTATGTAGTCTGTAAGCGCTACGTGTGTAGCTAGACATGTGTTGGTAATAAGCAACGTGGTATGCAGCATGCTCGGGTAAGGAGGTGCGTTCGTTAGCTGCATTATGGAGCCTGTATCAGTTGATATCCAACTTGGATAAGACCCCGACGTGCAAGTTGCACTGCAACTGGTGCTGAATTACAAAGGTGAGTCCTGCGTGGCAACGCTGCAGTGTAGGACCATCATTTTCGCGAACTGTTGCTAACGCAAGTTTCATTGCTTTCAATTGAGCAGGCACTAACGATATTTGCTCGAGAGGACACAAAGTCTGGCTCAAAATTAACTGCAAAGAGAGTTGTCAATAAACTTTGCATTTTGAAAGCATGCTACAAGAAATGCTTTTGGCGCGCATTTTCTAATGTTTTAATTAACATTTAAATATCCAAGAAGCGTACCCATCGATAGTAGCCATGCAGGCCACAGTGGACCTACCAATGTACTTCATAATGAATGTCAACCGTAATATCCAGCCTGAAATCATCCCTCCGCGCTGGTCAGCGACCATGAGAAAAATGAATGCGCCAGGAGAGTCGCTCACTTCAGACTGTAGGCTGCAGTCTGGTCGCCGACCAGTGGTCTGTCAAACCGGAGGCACCAACACCAGCGTCGTGCAGTCACTGCGGCACGAACTTGGTGACCAAGCGTCGAGAAATTCTCAGTGGGAGGATGCCAGTGGCAGTCGTCGTGTCTGCGATCTGATTCTGCCTGAAAGCAAAACCGAATTGTTTGTTACCGGATACTTTGGTGTGCGCCACGTAAATACCTGCATCGATTAAACCCTTCCTCATTTTAATCGATTGTCACATTTAATTGATTACGCACCTATCTGACCTCCCAAATTCCATCGCTTCAACCCTCCCCCAAAATTCGATTCCGCATTCGACGACACCATGGCGGAGGGCGCGCTCCTGCACTCATGTGCCGTGTATTTGTACCTCTATGACGATGCCAGCGGCTCGTACACGCAGCAGACAGATGCGGCTGTGGGATGTGCACTCCTGGCGGGAGAACGTGCGGCGCAGAGCGGCTCAGACGCCTTCTCCCTGTTACTATACGACACACAAAAGGCGCCACTCCTGCAGCTTCCCGTGACGCCCAGTGCGCGCTTCGTTCCTCAGAAAGATAATTACGTGAACTTCTACGAGCGCCAGACACAGCGAAATTTCGCTATGCGCTTCAAGGACGCAGTTACGAGTGAAGCATTCATGTCCGCAGTGTCCTACGCCAAGGCTCAGGTTTTAGTGCACTCCAGCAAGTCCTACGACCGCCACAAGCCCGCAGTACTGGTAGACCAATTATCTATCGGTAAGGAAGACGCCGCTCCGCTGAATTTTGGCGACGTGGCGGGTGTCACGATCAAGAAATGGCAGGGCACGATTGAGCAGCGAGAGAGCTTCTTCTCGGCCAATCCGCTGGAGATTGAGCAGCAACCACCGACTGAGGCTAACGGTGATGTGAAGAGGATTAAGTTACAAGAAGGAGCGAGTGAAATGGACCCTTTTACGAGGATTCTGGCCACGGAGGCACTCGTGGGCATGCAAAAGATGGGGAAGAGACTTGTGACCGTGACGTTCCCGGAGACAAGCGAGTGGGTTATCGCAGAGATGGAATTGGTCAAAGTGAAGAAGAACACCAAGTCCAGCGCAGCTACAGCAGAGCATAGCGTGGAGGCCGACGAAGCACAGGAACAGGGTCATGACGAGTTGGTGAAGCGCATGGCGAGTTTATCTCGCATGGGAAGTCAGAGCTCGGGATTGATTGCAAGTGTGAAGACGAAACTGGACAGTCGCGCTTCAATGGAGCCTAATGGAGAGATTGATACGTCCCTAACGCGAGCATCTTCACTTGGACAGCAGTCTGCAGATCCTCCTGCTGGTTACGTTCCAGTATTGCTAGCAGGGCTTCAGTTACCAGGTGAACGACCAGGATCACTCCGCAATTTACATAGTGAAATTCAGACACAAGTGCAGCAGGAAGCTGCGTCGCCCCCTCATGCGACATCGCTAGCTGCTAAGGTGATCGAGCCACTGAAGCATCAGACTGAAAACACTAACTTGGGGACAGAAGGCGGAACAAAGTTGGTGTCGCTGTCAAGCGACATGGAACGTCTGATGAAGGAGCAGTCGGACTTGGCGCGACTTCGTGAACAACTGGAAGAGAGTAAACGCAAGCTTCAATCTGAGGACACAAACTCCAGTGAACCACCAGCTGGATCGTCAAATGGTTCTGGTGGTAATATGTCAAGCTTGACGGAGTACAAACCGACGCAAGATAAACCAGCTCCATTCAAACCATCAGCTTTTGCGCTGATGGGCTCCAGCGCACCACCTATCGGGACTTCATCGTCGTATACGCCAAGTACTAGTAGATGGACTCCGCCAAAGCTTGATATGGTGCCGTCCTTCTCGCCGTCTGCGTTTATCCCTCCTTCACAGCCACCCCCGGCACTTCCTCCAGTACCCAGTGCATTCTCGTCATCCCTAACACCGTACACGACCTCGTCTTTCCCTTCATATTCATCGACGCCAAAATCTGGATCGTCTCCGGATGTCGAGAATGGTATTATTCGTCTGCAGCGATCATCAACGTCGATCGAGTCCACGTTACACGACCTCCAATCGAAGATGGATCGCCTGTTGAACTCCCAACACTCGATGAGATCAACCAAGTTTGTTCCAAGCTCTAGCAAATATAGCGGCGGCTCGTCGTTATCGGCTTCATCTTCGTCGTCGTCTTCTATGCTGCTGAAGAATCTGGAAAAGGCGCTAGCTCAGCGGGATGAGCTCCAGGCAACGAACTCTCGTCTTGAGGAAGCGAACAGCGAGCTCGAAGCGAATGTGGAAGAGCTGCAAAGTCAACACGAATCTCTTCAAATGGAGAACCGATCTTTACTGGATAAGCTGCAGAACGGCAACCACTTGCAACAGGAGAAGTTCCGCTTGGAATTGCGCAGCGTTCAGCAACAGTTGAGCCATACGCAGGAGCAAATGCTAGTGTATCAGGAAGAGAACTTCCAGCTTCGAGCTCAGTTGGCTGCGAAGGACGAACAGCTTGCCAAGGAGAAGACAAAGCTGCAAGAAGATACACAGAAGCAGCTTGAACAGCTCCAGCGACAGCTTGAAGACGAAGTTCGTCAAGGCTCGAAGGATTCGATGGAGAGGATGGCGACGGAGAAGGCCGCACTTGAAGCGCAAGTCGCAGAGTTGACAGCGCAGAAGAAACAGTGGGATGTAGAGCGCGAGATGATGAACAATCGACTGACTCAAGCTCAGAGTCAACAGGTGCAACTTCAAGACGAAACAACCAAGTCTCAGGCGGCTCAGAACTCGCGTGTGCAGGAACTACTGGCGCGTGTTCAGCAGCTCGAGGGCGAATACAAAATGTTGAAGCAGCAAGCAGAGGGTTTCCACTCTGAAGCGCGACACTTAGAGGAGTTGTTAGCTTCGAAGGAGCACGAAATGGCCCAGCTACAATCCGCTAGAAACGATCAAGAGTACGCGGCGTTGAGTGAACTCTTCAAGGAGTTCATGAACGATATTTACTTCCATTTCCAGGACGCTTTCGATGAAGACACCGAGTTCACGGGCAAAGAGATTGTCATGGCTATCCGCAAGATCCTGAAGCAGAACACGATGGATATCCTGGCGAAACTGGAGGAATTCTACCGACAGCAGGCAACGCATCGGCAATGAGGGTAGTCAGCCAGCTAGCTGTCGAGACGTGCGTTGGTGAGAGATAGCGGCGGAACTATCTTGTGCTGGAAAGATGCACGGCCGTGGTCGGAGAAGAAAGAAACGTATGATGTCCATCAAGCCAATTACAGTAAGCTCTAATCCGTGCGAACGCTATTATTATTGTTTGATGTAATTGTTTTAGGTAGAGGAACTCCGGATGACAGTACTGGGAAGATAACTTTAGCTTACTGACCTACAGATAAGGCAGACACGTTTGGTCTGAGTATTGCATTTGGTGCAAGTAGTTGGCACTCAACAAGACACTGACAAAGCTATGGAGGTGCTGGTACTTGCAGTGAACAGCGGTGCCGATACGATGTTCGATGTAGTTTTGGGCGTTCTGGAATGTCCGTGCTCTCAACTACCCACTATCATTCGGGGAGGATCACGGGTAGACTAATCTTGCTCATGCCATTTCAACAGCTTCGGCGCCACCAATTGAAATATTTTCCAGTTTACCATCAGTGAGCTTAACGTGCTGCTGCGGTGATCACTCGTAGAAATACTAACCGAATTACTACGTCGCTCTGACAAGCCTCCTGTAGAACTGCAAGATCATCAAGTGGTATCCTCCCAGCTGTGCTGCATGCTTGTCTTGCTTACTCCGAAGCTAACCGAGGTTCGAACTTTGCAGCTTGTTTCAAGAAAGCGTTTGGACAGAGACTCGTTGTCTGCCTTCATCAAGAAAGACCAAGCTGGGAATGCAGACACGTTACCGACTGGACCTTTTAGTGCTGGCGATACCAGTCACTTGTTACGGAAAATAGGCAGGAAGAGTAAGAAGATCAAGCTCCTGTCCGAGCAGGTTGACTCCTTCAAGGCCAAGGCTCAAGATGCAATACAGAAGGCACAACATCTCGAGATGGAGCAAGAACAGTTCTTCGACGACGTACAGGAAATGAAGAACCAGTTCGATAAACTAGCAGAGAATCACCGCAAACTCATGTGGGAATATCTCCCAGCACGTGACCCAAGTCTTCGCGCGATACCGCGCCTAACAGCAAAATTACCGGAGACTCCTACGACTATCGGACAGTACCCGTTAGAACAAGTACTAGGCTACGGTCAGTACGCTGTAGTTTACACGTCAAGCACGCCCGAACGTGCCGAGTTGGCGATCAAGGCGATAGACAAGCAGAAGCTCGTGGATCTCGTGTCGCTGCATCGCATCAGCTCCGAGATCACGTCACTAAGCGACACTGCTATTCGACATCCAGGTATCTTGGAGTTAGTGGACGTTATTCATACGCACAAGCATGTCTACTTGGTCACGGAGCGTGGAGGTAAGGACTTATTCGAGTTCTTTGGGGCTCATGTGGACGGACTGGGGGAGGATACGATTCGTCCATTGTTCTTAAACCTCGCACAAGCCGTTGAAGTGCTACATCGCAACAATTATTGTCATCGAGACTTGAAGCCGTAAGTTACATGGTGTAAAGTATTGTAGATCTTTGTGCTAATCGATTTTTTACTGTAGGGAGAATGTTCTGTATGCGCCGGAGAGTTCGCATCTGGTCAAACTCATTGACTTTGGTCTGTGCACGAAAGCGACGACAGAGCTGCACGATTTCTGCGGCAGTCCTGGCTTCTTTGCCCCGGAGTTACTGCTTCATGATGGCTACGATGGATGCAAGGCAGACGTTTGGAGTATCGGCTGCATCTTGCTTGAGGTACAACCCTCTAATTGTACGTTTTGATCTCTAGCTTGACTCTAACGTCGTAAATGATAGTTAGTACTGGGAAACACGCTCTTCTCATCGATCTGGATGTCTATGTACGATATTTCGATCCTGAAAGAGCCTAAGACGTTCGGCGAGTGCGTTAAAGCAGTAAGAATCTGCCCCGCTCTGTATTACTCAACTACCCCCAGTCATCTCTAATTCATGAGCTGTAGGCATTGACACAAATGCGAGACTTCTGCAACGGATCCGAGTGGAGATATTCAGCCAAACTACGTAGTGCTCTCGTAGGAATGCTGTGTGAAAATCCGACCGAACGCTTGTCCATACACCAAGTTTTAGCCCACCCATGGCTAACTGTCGAAGGTCCATTACCGGCTTCCCACTCAGTATCAAGAAGAGCGTCACCTGTCAAAACAAAGAGGAGTCACGGTCTCCCTGCCAGCGCCGCAGCTCGAATATCTGACGGTGATGCAAGCATACAGCCGCTCCCACGGTCACTCGACTACCCGCCACTAGTATCTTCTGCTCCTGGTTCTCCACGTGTCCACCATTTGCATTCTCCACCCTCAGCAAAGCTCAATCTACCAAGTTTATCACCGGATAAGCCGCCAAGTCGATGCTCTCCAGAGCGTAAGGCATCAACCAAGCTTGCGTTCAGTGTCACTCGAGTTTAAAACACCCCGTAAAATAGGGATAAGAGTATCATTTAAAGGGTCTGGTTATATAACCATCTCCAGTCTACTGATGCGGTGTAGGGATGGCTGTAAGTAGCTCCTGAGCCTCCTTGAAGATCTCCAGTGACTCCACCTCGTCGCGATGGGCCTTGATGAAGTTGGAGACGTCGGTGGCGGCCTCTTTGAGGCGACTCTGACAGTCTGGAAGCATCGTCTCCGTCTCTACCAGCACCTCCTCCTGCTTACGGATATCGTGCTCGTCCTTGCCGTCAGCGCGCATCTTGGCGATCTTGTCCTGCTGCGCCGCGTGCTCCTTGGCGTAGTATTCCAGGTCCTTCTTCACCCTAAATACCACAGTATAAGCAGTAGAAATCGCAACAACAAACCAATGCATTACGCACCGACGCAGGGTGCCCACTTTGATCTTGAATTGCCGCTCCGCCATGTTATTGCTTCTAGATAACGCGACTCGCCGACTGCAAAGCCGCGAATTGTTGCCTTTCGCACCGGTATACCAGTTTAATCGGTATTTAGTGATTTGAACGTAAACTGAAGGTCATTTGGTAAAACCTTTTCTAAAATATGTTAAAACAGTAAATATTTTGAAGAGTCGTTAAGTATTAGTAATACAACCCTTTTAACTTAGTGCTTAATACTATTACAACCCTGTTAACATAGAGTCGTTAAGTATTACAACCCCAATAACTTAGAGTCGTTAAGTATTACAACTCTTTTAACTTAGTTCCAAGAACTCGTCGGTGCGCATGCTGATTGACCGAGATGGCATTCAGACGAAAAAAAACATTAAAATCTTAATGGGCTTTTTTCGTCTGAACGCCATCCAACGGCAAGCGACATTTTCATCAAAAGTTCTACAAGTTTGTTGTCGTTGAGTAATAAAATATGGCTGGACTCCTCAGACTTGAAGACAATGCTGTCACGGGAGCCGACTTGGCTTTCTACGCACTGACGTCACAACGGAGTTGAGGCATAAGTTTTGCTATATTCCGGAAGAGGAGCATAACTTTGTATGGTAATGAGTGTGGCGAACCTCGCAAAACGTTTTTAGAGCCCGAACTTACACCTTGCGTATTCAAGATACCCGGAATTCAAGCTTTCGCCGAATCGTTTTGTTTCCCCATGCGAACGTGAAAACAATGTTCCTGTATTCATTACTTTAGGGAGCTTCGTGTCTCGACTACAAAAGGCATTCGAACCATTTCACTGGCATCTTTGACTCGTCCATCAGAGCGTCGTCACTGCCGAACTCCACGTCAAAGTGATTGAGCTTCGTCCGATAAAACCTGTCACGATAGGTATTCCCAAACTTCGATTCGGGGATTCCCGCTGCACAACTATCAAATTCTACCATACCGTCGTTCCGTTTGGACTTGTGCGGTACTACCTTGTCAAGTGTTGAGAGGCACTCTTGCACTTGAAAAAGGACACGTGGGATAAGGTTTGAAACGAAAAGGAAAAAGAAAAAGTGAGATTGGTATTAGTGGGAACGATAAGGTATTATCCTATTGTTTGTATCTGGTAGTCTAATACACAGTAAATAACTGCCGCAACCAGTCATTTTGATATAAGATAATAGAGTCACAAGTACCGTGTTCTTCCTGTATCAATTTCCAGAGAGAACATAATAAAAGGAGAGAGCATGACGAGACCTAACCTTAACAGCCTCCCTGGGTCGTCATCAGGAAATGCTATTGGATCAAACGATTGTTTAATCCTGATTGGATTAGATCGACCCTCTTGAAACTGTTCAGTCAGTTTACAAAAATGGCTACACAAAAATCTGTTTTTCGATTTCTGAGGCTTCCAGAGCAGCTATGAGCAATCTGAGGTCAGTTTTAAGCTCTCCTCGTTGAGAGGGTTTTTGATCAGGTCCACCACTTCTGCCCTTCGAACTTTATATCATGCGCGAATCAGTTTTAGGAGGTTCTTATGTTGAAGACGTTCTGATTTGGTTTCAGATTAAGCTTGACAAGACTGTCGAAGACGCGTGTGGTATAACATGCGACACAATCGTCTTTCAGCGCGTCTGTAGGTGGTCTCATTCTCTCGTTTCTCGCCTCCTTCGCCATGCCTTTTGCCAAGTCCTCCAGTCTCCATTGCCAAGTCTCAGTAGTCTGTAGTCTGACCGGTGGTATGTTGGCCCGGAGCTCTGTAATAATACGCCAGCTCCAGACAATATGCTTCGGTAGGCTCAGGTTATGCCAAAGACTGGTGGCAGCATCGCGGCAGCATTAGACAAGCAGTTACCAGCCTTAGAAATGCACGTGAGATCCACTCAACCTACGGTCTCGCTGGTGGAGAAACCCGCGTACCGACTCATCTTCAGAGCACTTCATTCAATTGCAGCAACTAGAAGACACGCAGCCAGACCAACAGCCTCTACAGACTCACGTGAAGCCAAGGAGGAGCTCTCGCGTTCGCAGATTAACTAAGATCAATACACCGGCTTTTTCCAGCAAAATCGAGTCGACCATCACGTCGCAAGAAAATTTGTAAAGCTCTCCAATCTACACCGACATGGAGAGTGGCATACATCAAGGATAGGGTCACTACAGCTAATTGGATTGATAGGTTGATGTTTGTCCGTAAGGTAGTCTTTCAGAATTAAATAGGTATAAGTTCGTATTTTATGTTAACTTATTCAAAATTCGATAATACATTGTTTCTTTGTTTTTTCCCAAAATTGAAAAGGGTAATTCCTGGTTGGCAAAAAAAAAAATGCAAGGTCGTATTTTACTTTTACAATATTGATAATACATTGCTTCTTTGGCTTTTCATTCATTTCACATTAGTATTTCTTGCTTATTCGGTGGCTGTGTACCAGGGAAACCCCAGCGAGGATAAAACCTATAGGATGCAGTGGGTAAACCTATTGTAGGGGAAACTCCACACTGTCCTGTGACTCATTGATATTGTGAAATGAATATGTATTCGACCGTGTTTATTGATCTATCTATTTGCTAATTCACTAAATGATTGCATTCCTAGTTGTCTTCTTAAATTCCAAAACTGATGCTTGTCAAGTGACTTGGTAAAGATGTCTGCTACCATTGACTTTGTTGCAGGAAGCGACCCTGAATTCGTGTCTTTCTACATTTTCCTGAACAAAATGGTAACGGGTGTCAATATGATTTGATCGTCCGTGTAGTTCTGGGTTACTAGTGATTTTAATGCAACTTTGATTGTCATCTTTGATAACATTGGCTTTGGTTGTCAAGAAACCTAGCTCTTTGAGTAGCAGTTGAGGAAGATGACCTCTTGCATACAATGGCATAAGGCAATGTACTCGGCCTGTGTAGTCGAGAGCACGACAGTATGGTGCTTCCTCGAAAGCCATGAGATGGGACTTGTCCCGATCATTGTGACGTATCCGCCAACTGACCTTCTAGTGTCAGGACAATTAGCATAGTCAGAGTCTGTGTAGGCTGTCAAATGATCAACTAGGTTACTAGCATCAACTGACGTTGATCGGCGGTGATGTAGGCAGAGGGACTGCGACTGGGGGCGGTTCAGACGATGGCTCGGAACGCGGAACGCCAAGGAGAATCGAACCCAGGGTCCAGGGTCGCGGAGCTCGAGAGGCTCGAAGGGACGAAGAGGGGACGCTCAGGTCTGAACCTCTGTCTCCAAGAGCGAGAAGGATGGCCGAGTCGGTATTGGACACGCCCCGAGGCCGAGAAATGTTCAACCAGTTCCTCGCGCGGCTGGCACGACAACCAGCGCCGAGCGAAGAGCCGACTCCGGCGAGGACGACGGCTGGTGAGACCGGGGACGCCGCGATGTCGACCCCGAGAGCTCGACAAGGAGACCACCAAGTAGCAGACCTTGGTCAGTCGTGCCAGATAGATATTTTAGCCCTCTTACCACTGCTTTCCAGTGTTCATTTCCAGGGTTTACTATGAATTGGCTGACTTCGCGCATGTAGCATGCTCGATCGGGGCGAGTGCCAACCATGAGGTACATTAGACTGCCTACGACTTCTCTGTATGGAATGTCTTTCATTTCCCCCCTCTCTTCTTGGGTCTGAGGCTCCATGGCTTTCGTGAGTTTGATGCTGCGATCGGAGGGCGTCGCAGTAGGGTACGAAATGAGATGTTTATACTTATCGAGGACATTTGTAGGGTACTTTTGTTGGTGGATAAATATCGTTCGGGATTCACGGTTCCGTTCAATGGACCAGCCGAGAATGTACTTCACCTCCCCTAAATCTGTCATTGAAAATCTCTGTTTCAGGGCCGATTTAATACGGCATACGAGGCTTACTGTGGGTGCTATGATAAGCAGATCGTCCACATAGACGGCAATGTAGCATACTTGGCCATCAAAAGTTGCCATAAAGATACAGCTATCTTTGATCAGCTTGTGAAAGCCGAGGCTCTCACGGAAGGCGCACAGTGTCTGATACCAAATGCGAGGCGCTTGTTTAAGACCGTAGAGGCTCTTTAAGAGTTTGCAGACAATATGATCTTGGTCAGCGGCAGCAAAGCCTTCGGGCTGGGCCATGTATATTTCCTCGGAGAGAAAGCCATTTAGGAAAGCTGTCTTTACGTCCATCTGATGGACCTCGTAGTCTAGCAATGCAGCTATGTTCAGGAGGAGTCGAAGGACTTCCATCCTGATAACAGGAGAAAAGATTTCATTGTAGTCAATGCCATACTGCTGCAGGAAGCCTTTAATAACTAGGCGTGCCTTAAACCTGTCGATTTCATTCGCGCCAGTGTACTTGACAACAAGACCCACCGGTTTGAAGAACACGGCCGCCATGAGGAGGTGGAACCAGAATCCACGTCTCATTTTTCATGAGGGACGCAAATTCCGACTCAGCAGCAATACGCCATTGTCTAGCGTAGCAAGACTTCATGGCTGCTTCGTACGACTCAGGTACATACCGAATAGCAAGTAGGCTAAGTGTTTGAGTTGTGCGTTCTTTATGTTCCTGAATATCTTCCGCTGATGTAAGCTCTGTAAGGTTAACTGCTTCCTCGTATCGAGGGCGTTTGGCAGGGAGATTTGGAGGTGTTGAGGGCGTCTCCGTTACAAAAGAATAAATGATTTCGCCACTGTCAGTGGCATCATTCAGCGGAGTCGGCGTCGCTGCAGGTGTTATAAGGGGTGGGACGTTAGGTCCGACCTTCGGGGAACTGCTTGGTCCAACTCTTGGGGATTGGCTGGTTCGAGTATTGGACGAGGGACTGTCACCAGACGGGGCAGTACCAGCCAGATGAGCCGGTAGCGGCAATGGATCGGGTGTGCCGTCGATATTCTCAAGGGTTGGAAAGCTGTCTTCCTGAAAGACGGCGTCACGGCTGTAAACTATGGCGAAACGTCCATGAGACGATACCCCTTCTTGTGGCTTGGAATACCGAGGTATAAACAGAGTTTTGCTCGCGCATCTCGCTTATCCTTGTAGATGTCATTGATGTGGGCGTACGCCGCGCA